CGTGCAGCATTTAAACTACACAAATCTCTGTTAGGGATGTAACGGTTTCAAATCTCACGGTTGGATATTTTAGAGAAGCTGTAGAAAGTTTACTTATTGCTTTTAAAATGCCTCGACGAGACTTTGGTGTGAATTATTTCCGCCATAATCCTAAGAATTCAAGTTAAAAAAACAAATTTCTTCATGTTTGCGCTGAAATGCATCATGGGAAATGTAGTTCCCGACGTTTATAAGCTGTTGCTTCCATAAAACCATGAATTTAAGCAAAGGAACGTGTGATTTGATTCATTGTGACAGTCCAAGATTTTATTGTGAGACTTTCGACGATACGATATCACGATATTTCGGGTATTGTTACGTCCAGACTATATCTATGCTAAAAACGACGACATGAAATGGATTTTTTAATTGTAATTGTAGAATGAGTCTGAGTGAAAAAGTTCCTTCTGTTTTATTCATGATCATAACACGATTTTAGTCGAGTTTGGTCGTTGTTTCCTTAAAGTTTTGCTCTTTCTTCTCTCGATAGATGTGGATAAATTCTCGTTGCTTGAAGATTTGGTGATGGGGCAGATTTATGCAGCTGCTCAAGACTACGACACATTTACACACACATTTACACACACTCTTACTCAGAAAAACATTAACCGGAAGTTCCACAAACCCACAGCGGGACACTTCCGGCCGATGTGAAAAAGCTCTACACTATTTAACAAAGAAAGTATCTGGGGGTGTAACAATATCCAAGTCTCACGGCGTGAACCTCACGATATTTATTGCGATATCGTGGGAAAGTTCACGATTGGAGATGTAACAATATCCAAATCTCTCGTTACGATATTTATTGTGATATTTTGAGGTTAATATTCTTCTTTTTTCCTCTTAAAATGCCCTGATTTAAGATTTAATCTGTTATTTCTTCTTGTCGTCTGCACTGAAATGGAGCAAAGGATCATGGTCTATGTAGTTCTGTCATTTTTATCTGTCGCTGCATCATAACTCTTCATTTAAACAAAGAGACTTGTAATTCGATATATTGTGATGGTCCACGATATTATTGTGAGAACTTTGACGATACGATATCACCATATTTTGGTTGTTACGTCCCTGTTAGTATCGTTTTTTCTCAGTTTATGAGAGTTTAGCCCCTCCGTGTGTTCCCCGTGTGCAGTGGATTTGGTCTGCTTCCATACACTTTTTACACTTTACACTTTATTTTTTTATTTTTTTTGTCCACCCACAGTGTCCTGTATCAGCTCTCAGGCACATATTTATTCTGTGACTTTATCTGGAGTCGTGTTTGTTTCTTTAAACACTTCCCCCGATAAGAAGAGTCTTTATATTTTGTTCTATTAAGGGAACGTTTTTCTGTAATTTTTTTATTTTATATTTTTGTTTTTTAGATCCTCATTGGATACTGTTTTTATTATTTAGTAGCTATTCTTCCTGGGGTCAACAATCCACGTTTCAGTCGTTTTTAAAATAAAATGAAAAACAATTTTTTGTCTCTAAAACCAAAATGGAAAAAAAACTGATAATGATTTTGTTTTTCAGTTTTCTATTTTGTGTTGAACGGATAACGGCCGTTTCCTGTTTACGTGACTTAAACTGCGATGCCGGACTGAACCCGGACTGGATCAGGACCGAGACTGGTTTTGTGCTTTTTTAATCCGGTTTTTAATTTTGGTTTTAGTCTTGGTTTTTATCCGGGTTTAGTCCTAGAGTTTAGTCTTGGGTTTTAGTCTTGGTTTTAATCCCGGTTTTAGTCTTGGTTTTTAATCCCGGTTTTAGTCTTGGTTTTATCTGGGTTTAGTCCTAGGGTTTAGTCTTGGGTTTAATCCCGGTTTTAATCCTGGTTTAGTCCTGGTTTAGTCCGTATGCGGCGCAAAAGTCCGGCATCGCAGTTTAATTCACGTAAACAGGAAATGGTCATCCATTTTTTTTTCCATTATTCATTTAAATCATTTTATTTTTTGATTTTATTTTGAAAAACAAATGAAACACTGTCTACATCCGTGTCAGGCTATAAATGCACTTTTAATTTTATTTTCATACAGAAATCAGAGGATGTACATGTTCCACAGTCACACTGACAACAGAACTAAAACCAGACTCCACAAAAAACAAAAATTTACAAATAATCATGATCATTAAAATAATCTCTCTCCTTTTGTTCCGTTCTTTAGCCGTTGAGTCTGAATCGACCAAAATGTGGATTAGTTGACTCATTTTTTATTTTATTTTTTTTAGATGACCAGGATTTTTTTGGGGATTTTCAGCCGCGGACGGGAGAAAAATTAGCTGAGGATTTAGAAATGTTTGGTATTTTCTGTAAAAACTCAGATTAAACTCATGATTCACAAGTTTAATCTTCATCAGCCTTTACATAAATCCAGTTTCCTCGTCCTTTTTTCTCGTTTGCACGGATCCCGAGCGGCTCCTGAACACCTACGCCGACACACAGAACATTTTCCAGGATCAGATCTCCGCTCCAGATATCGCTCGAGTCGATTTCCCGGTTTGAAAGATGATTTTGTGTTTTAAAACAATTTACTGAAAGTCTCATAATGTTTGAACTTTTATTTACACGACGTTGTTCTGTGGCGGGTTCGGGTAAATAACAGCTGCGTAACACGTTTGGAGCAGTTTTATTTATTTATTTATCTTTAAAGTAAATAAATGCGTTTCCAGTCCCTGCTCTGGTATCGGCTCGGATCAGGTATCAGGAAAAATTTGGAATCGGAACTGGAAAAAGCTGGATTCCTGTTGAGTTTTTCTGCAGAAATAGTCGTTTTTGTGTGAACTCCCCCTGCTGGTGGAGTCTGGTGAGTGCAGTTTGGGTCAGAGACAGATCAGTGTTTTTGTCTCATTTTTAGTCGATTTACTGTCATTCATTCGTTTGTTTTTCAATTTAAAACCAAAAATAAGAAAATTTAAAAGTTCATTATTTGTTTCCAAAACCAAAATGAAAACACAGATAATTTTTTTTTTTTTTTTATGTTTAAATGAATAATGGAAAAAACGGATAATGGATGTTACAGGGGGACCAGGTTTATAATGGCAGTTTCCCTTTTCTGTGACTTAAATTGTGATGCCGAACTGAAACGGGACAAAACTAGGACTAAAGCGGGTCTAAATCAGCTCTAAACCGGTCCTAGACTTGGTCCGGGTCTGGTCCTGGTCCCGGTCTCTGTCCTGATCTTGTCTCGGTCCCAGTCTGTTTTTAATCTTGTCACTGTCTGTTCCCGGTCTCAGACCCGGTCTCAGTCTTGATCTTGTCCCGGTCTTAGTCCCTGTCTCGGTTTTAATCTTGTCACGGTCTGTTCCCGGTCTCAGACCCGGTCTCAGTCTTGATCTTGTCCCGGTCTTAGTCCGTGTCTCGGTTTTAATCTTGTCACAGTCTGTTCCCGCAGTTTTAAGTCACGGGAAACGGCAAACGGTCGCTATCAGTTTTTTTCCATTTTTCATTTAAACACAAAATCGAAAACTGAAAAAACAAAACATTATCTGTTTTTTCATTTTGGTTTTGGAGACAAATAATGAAGCAAATAGTTTTGTTTTTTTTTGTTTTCTTTTGAAAAACGAATGATCCACAGATTCGGCAGCACATACATCGCAAAAAGCAATGTCAAGGTAAATTTAAAATGGCTTTAATTAAAAACATTTCACTTTATTTGAGTTGATTCAACTTAAAGTAAAAATATCTATCAATGGAATAAGTGGTTTTCATAATTCAAGCTACATTTTTAAGAGTTGTTTTTTATCTTAAGTGTAGCAGATATATTAAGTACAAAAAGTCTCGTTCCGTTGACCGATAATTTTACTTGTCAAGTGAAATTTACTCATGATAATACGTTAATTCAAGTAATTGAGTCTTGACTAGATTTGAGTTTTTGCCGTGTGTCTTTTAGTCCAACAATTTATTTAGTCGACTCGAGCCCCTCTGCCCTCGTCCTGCGCTCGAGTTTTGAAAATCTTTAGTTGACTTTATTACAACTTAATTTTTTTATGTTATGTTTGTTTTTTTAATATATATTTTTAGTTTTCCACCATTTTTCCAGCGTTCCCTCATCTCAAACCTGCCTGACGAGGTTTTACAGTCCTCCATGCATGTTTCAGTAATCTAGTGATCTCTCTTGAACCCTCTTTATAGGTTTATAGGTCACAAAAACCGAGCAAATGTGACTGTACTGACTCGCATTAGAGCCGAGTGCAGAATAATTTTCCGGAATTACTCTCGTTTCACAATTTTATTATTACCAACCACAAACGGAGGACGTCCCGGTTAATAAAAAAAAATCTGGTCACATTATAATCTGATGTTTTGGGTGAATATGGAATTTTTAAAACCATTACAGGTGAACGGAATGGACTAGACCCGGGACTAGACCCGGGACTAGACCCGGGACTAGACCCGGGACTAGACCCGGGACTAGACCCGGGACTAGATCAGGATTAAATTAGGATGAAACTAGGACTAAACGTACTACAAGACGGGGACGTGACCGTGGACTAGACCGGGGACTAAATCAGATTCTAGACCGTGGCACGAGACCAGGTACAAGACTGAACTAAAGCAGATACGGGGACGGGACCAGAGACTAGACCTGGACTAGACCCGGGACGGGACCAGAGACTAGACCTGGACTAGACCCGGGACTAGATTCATTAGTGCAGAACAGTTTTCTTTTCTTCTGGACTCGTTTCACAATTTTATTCTTGCCACCAAAAAAATAAAACAAATAATGCTCCAGTTTTTAATTTTAAAATTCTAGTCTCTCTACACTTGTGTGCGTATGAATGAACGACTGTGGAAGGGCATCTGGAGTAAATTCTGAGCTTATATTTTCTGTATTGGGGGTAAAATTTGGGAGTTTTAATCACAAAATGAATAAAAATAATAATAAATCCAGGCGAGGTTAAATGTCGTAAAATTCCCTCAGGTCTGGAAGAGTTAAACACGCTCATGTTAAATATTTTTGTTTTTCTTTGTTTTTCAGGAGCTGTAAACTGCAGATCAGGAACATCCCGCCGCACATGCAGTGGGAGGTGAGTGCTAACGGACAGGGTTGGGAAGTTTACTTTTAAAATGTAATCCCCTACAGATTACAGATTACACACCCCAAAATGTAGTTTGTAACATAATCCATTAAATTACTTAAAGTGAGTAATGTAATCTGAATACTTTGGATTACTGGATTTGCTGTAGAGAAACAAAGACGAGGAAATCTTCACATAAGATGTTTTGTCTCATGATAAAAGAAAATAAAAAGTCCAAACTTTACTGAACCAAATTAAAAATATTATTGATAGAAAACGAGGAGACACAGTCCACACAGCAGGATTTAGTCCTGTTAAATCCTGTTTTAGTCCTGTTTTAAACCTGGTTTAGACCTGGTTTTAGTCCTGGTTTAGATCTGGTTTTAGACCTGGGTTTAGACCTGGTTTAGTCCTGTTAAATCCTGTTTTAGTCCTGGTTTAGATCTGGTTTTAGTCTTGATTTTAGATCTGGTTTTAGACCTGTTTTAGACCTGGTTTTAGTGGTTTAGTCCTGGTTTAGTCCTGGTTTTAGACCTGGTTTTAGACCTGGTTTTAGACCTGGTTTTAGACCTGGTTTAGACCTGGTTTAGACCTGGTTTTAGACCTGGTTTAGACCTGGTTTTAGACCTGGTTTAGACCTGGTTTTAGACCTGGTTTAGACCTGGTTTTAGACCTGGTTTAGACCTGGTTTTAGACCTGGTTTTAGACCTGGTTTAGACCTGGTTTTAGACCTGGTTTAGACCTGGTTTAGACTGGTTTTAGGTTTTAGACCTGGTTTAGACCTGGTTTAGACCTGGTTTTAGACCTGGTTTTAGACCTGGTTTTAGACCTGGTTTTAGACCTGGTTTTAGACCTGGTTTTAGACCTGGTTTAGACCTGGTTTAGACCTGCTTTAGACCTGTTTTAGTCCTGTTTTAGCCCAAAATGTGAAAACAGTTAAATCCCTCTGTGTTTAATCCATTTATTTCAACAAAGTAACTGTAATCCAATTACCACTCACTGAAACAGTAACTGTAACTGAATACAGTTACTCATCATTTGTACTCTGATTACTCTGGTACTTGTAATCTGTTACGGGCTAACATGCTAACGGGCTAACATGCTAACGGGCTAACATGCTAAGTGCTAACAACAGCCTGGAGGCCTCAGTTTAAACAAAAAGTGAAATTCTCGCCGCGTTTTGACTCGAGCGTTGATTTAAAATGAGTCTTGAGGTAAAATGGAGGGTGTGTTTGTGTTTGTTTAGGATGGAATTACTTTTAATTTTTAGTTTTTGTCCCTTTAATTGTGCCAAAGGTGATAAGTCCCAGTCCTGAGTCTGTGTCCCTCGACCCACAGATTTTACACAAAAACACAGATTTTTGTCCCAGTTTTATTCAAGAAATGTTCCAGGTTTGTCTGTTTTTGGACCAGTTTGACCCTGACAACAGTAAAGAGAAACATGAACTGATATTTGTTTAGATAAAATACAGAGAAAACATTATTAAAAAAACGACCAAAACACAAAGAAAATGTGACTGTGCAGGGACTAGACTGGGACTAAACCAAGACTAGACCGGGACTAGGCCTGTACTAAATCAGATGCTAGACCGGGGCTAGACCGGGGACTAGACCAGATACTAGACCGGATACTAGACCGGGACTAAAAGACTGAACCAGATACTAGGCCGGGACTAGACCAGATACTAGGCTGGGACTAAAAGACTGGACCAGATACTGGACCAGATACTGGACCAGATACTGGACCAGATACTGGACCAGATACTGGACCAGATACTGGACCAGATACTGGACCAGATACTGGACCAGATACTGGACCAGATACATTAGTGCCGAGTGTAGAACAGTTTTCTTTAATTCCCGACTTGTTTCACAATTTTATTTTTACCAACCACCAAAAAAGTAAAACAAATAATGCTCCAGTTTTTTTTTTTTTTTAATCCTAAGTCTCTCTACACTTTTGTGCGCATGAATGAACGACTGTGGAAGGGCATCTGGAGTAAATTCTGAGCTTCTATTTTCTGTTCAGTTTTGTGACGTGCTGCTGTTTGTGCCACTAAATAAAATAAAATGACGTTAACTGAAAAGGGGCAGGAAGCAAAACATTTAAATATGAAACAGTATTTGCATATTCAGCTAGTGTCAGTGTGTACAGGCCTATGCACACACAGAACACACACACACACACACACACACACAGAACACACACACACACACACACACACAGAACCACACACACACACACACACACACAGACACACACACACAAACACACACACAGGCCTATTCACTTTTCCTTCTAGAAAATAAATCAAATCTTCTGTATCTGTGTGGTAACTAAGAGCACAATACACACATTTGTTTAATTTAAATTTTAAAATACATTTAGACTTGGACTTAAACTTTATTGATCCACAAGGGAAATGATTTGGACAAAAATAACAAGGAGAAAAAAAAATCTAATTAAGCAGAAAAAAGCGTGAGAGACATAATTATGTAAATGTAGGAAAAATTGTAAACTAAATTCCAGACTGGAGTCAAAAATGAAGTGAAACATTAATGCGACTTTCATGGGAAAACCTGGATTCATTTCAGAAAATCACAAATTAAGAAAAATCAAGGACAGTTTAGAAAATGAAAACCACTCAGATCCACGTGAGTGATGTCAGATTCCCATTTAAAAACACTTACAATTGTTTTTATTAAATCTGTTTATTTGACAAGAGTTTGATGCACACTAAGAATTTTTACAAAAGCAAAATCTACATTTTGAGGTTTTATTGGACAAATCCTCACAGAAAAGTTGAGCTTTTCACTTCATCGACAGATATATTACACGTTTGATCATAAACTATAGTTTTTGTGAAGCTCAAACTGCAAAAAACAAAATCTAGTCAAGTTAAAATTACTTGAATTAAGGAATTTTTATCATGATTTGAGTAAATTTCACTTGAGAATTAAATCGAAGTAAGACTTTTTGTACTTAAAATATGAAAATACATCTTTCTACACTTAAAATAACAAACAAAATCTAATGTTTGAATTAAGAAAAACAGATTTATTCCACTGGGAGATAATTTTACTCAAGTTGAATCGACTCAAAATAAAATGTTTAAGTCGTTTAAACTCTATTAGATATTGTTTTTTTTCCCGTGCAGATAATATTTTAAGGTTAGAAAACTGTTTTTTTTTCCATCATTCTTAACAGAGAAGCAAAGTAAATAACATTTGTAGCTTTTAAAAATTCAAAATAGTTGCTTATTTTTTGTTTTGTAACGTTATGAAACCATTAGTGTTTAGGTCGGCTCGTCAGTTAATCATTGTAAATAATGTCATTTTGCCTCCGTTTCAGAAGTTTGAACTTTCTGATGACGTAAGATTTGAAAGCGTCTGTGAAAATAAACTGTTAGAGATTGTATATTTTATTATTTATTTATCCATTTTATCATCATAAATAAAATGTTTGTCATACATGAGCTGCACAGAGACGCTCGGCCTTGGTCCAGCATTTTAAACTCTTCATAATAATAATAATTCATTTAGTTTTTTCTAAAAGACCAGAGGGAAAAACAGAGACAGCGGAACAAAAAGTGTGTTGTAGATTTTAAATGGAGTAGTTCAGGGCCGGGCTAATGGTTCACCAGATCGGCCTGTGCTCTGCGTGCTGCTTATGCAACCGGAGCACGCAGAGGCCATCAGCTCAAACTGATACTGATACTGATACCGAGTACTTTGGGCTCATTATTGTGGTTCAGATAATGAATTTCTGTCATAAAACGCAGCGTTAGTTCGTTTCCACCCCTGGATTTACACAGATTACAAATACATCGCAAAAAACGATATTTAAGCAAGTGAAAATGACTTAAATTAAGAATATTTTTGTTTATTTGAGTAAATTCAACTTGAAGTAAAATGATCTGCCAACAAGTGGAACAAGTGTGATTTTGTTAATTCAAACAACATTGGATTTTCTTATTTTACAGGCAAAAAGTTGTTTTTGTTTTCTTATTTTAAGTCTAGTCAGATAAAAGTTGTGCATTGCCTTGAGTCTGACGATACGATACATGTCCTGATATTCACGTCACGATTCGATATGTCCCGATACTAAAACACGGCACGATATATCGCGATTTACCAATAATTACTTCTGTTGATTCGAGGTGTAAGAAAAAATCGATTCAGTGATATATCGTGATACTTCATTGCACAATTCGGGAGTCGATTCAAAATGGATCCAAATCGATTAAAAAAAAAAAAAAAGTTTTTCACTAAAATTCTTTCATTACATTCACTGTTGTCATGATTTTAAGAAGATAATCAGTTATATTTCATACAGTTTTGTTCTCATGAAGGTGTAGTTGACTGTATTGTTAGATGATATATTGTGATTTATGAATAATTCTATTTATTTTTTCTTTTTTTTTTCTTTTAGTATCGTGATGTATCGAATCGTGATGTGTATCGTCAGACTCGAGGCGATGCACACACTTACCATTGGTACAGTCACCTGAACCTTCACGAGACAGAAATGTATGAAAAATAATTTATAAAAATGTTTAAATCATCAGAACAGTGAATATTTGTGAGAATTTTATATAAAAATCGATTCAGATGCATTTTGAATTGATTTGAGGATTGTGCATTGAAATATCACTGAATCTATTTTTTATTTTTTTTTATTTTGTTGTTGTTGCACCCCCCCAAGCACGATGTATTTTCATATTTTAAGTACAAAAAGTCTTGATCATTTTACTCGTCCAGTGAAATTTTCTCAAATCACGATAAAACTTTATTTTTTAAGTCATTTTAACTCGGTTTGATTTTAGTTTTTGCAGTGTGGCCTGGAGCAGACTTTTAAACTTGCGCTGCAAATTTCTCTGATCTGATTTTAGATTTTCAAACTTCTATCTGGTTTTTCATCTTGTTTTCAGATTTATTTTCAATTTACTCGTTCTGAGACGCTTCATTCTCGTCTAGAGGTCGTTTATTTTAATAGAACTTGCTCGTTT